TCCCATATCTATGTCGGGTGTTTATATATTTGAGCACACACATAGTTCAATTCAAGCATCACATCTTCAAGCAAATGGCTTCTCTCTTGCTAATAACAGTTTCATTTCTCTTTGCATCTTTCTTTTCTCCTCTTATAGAGGCGGCTTATAGTAATGGTTACACCATCCCCAACTCATTACTAAATCCAATCGATTCTTGCTGGCGTAGAAACCCTAGTTGGGCGTCTAACCGTCGTGCCCTAGCCGATTGTGCGGTAGGGTTCGGGAAATCCGCGATAGGTGGCAAATATGGGTCGATCTACGTGGTTACAAACCCATCAGACAATGCTGAAAACCCTACACCCGGAACTCTAAGACATGCGGTGATCCAATCTAAACCGCTATGGATCACATTTGCACGTGACATGGTCATAGTGTTGCAAAACGAGCTCATCATGAATAGCTACAAGACGATCGACGGAAGAGGTGCAAAGGTGGAAATTGCGTACGGGCCATGCATAACGATCCAACATGTGAGCCATGTCATTATACATGGGATAAGTATCCATGATTGCAAACCGGGTAAGTCGGGTCGGGTACGGAGTAGCCCGACCCATGTTGGTAGCCGGAAAGGATCGGATGGTGACGCAATCGCCGTGTTTGATTCTTCGCATATTTGGATCGATCATTGTTCCTTTTCTCAGTGTCAAGATGGTTTGATCGATGTGCTACATGCTTCTACGGCCGTCACTATTTCTAATAACTACTTCACACAGCATGATAAAGTAAGTGTCTATATTTTTCATAGTTGTAACTTTTAACAATATCAAATATTTTGAACATTGATGATATTTTTGATATGTTATTATTGAAGGTGATGTTACTCGGGCATAATGACAATAATGTGGAAGATATGATTATGAGAGTTACAATTGCATTTAACCATTTTGGCCCAGGTCTCATCGAGAGAATGCCTAGGTATGTAAATATGTATTAATATTATCAATTAATTCAACTGGATTAGATTAAAAAAAGCTGACGTGGATATGGAATTGATGACGTGGCAGGGTGAGGAGAGGGTATGCGCATATAGCAAACAATAGATACGAGAAATGGCAAATGTATGCAATCGGAGGAAGTGCTGATCCAACCATCTTTAGTGAAGGCAACTATTTCGTTGCTTCCGACGACCCTAGCAAAAAACAGGTATATCTTCATTATAATATAAATTTAACAATTAACTATCTTAACATTTAGACCCAAAAAAATTTAACAATTAACTAACTATCGTAAAAATATATATTCCACATTAGAAATAACATGGACATACTATATAAAACTCCTAGATTAATTTATTCATTACCGGTACCGATTGATGTTGAGATGAAAAAGCCAACGTGATCTAATACATGTTGCATA